GGAAAATCTGGAATCTGTGGGTGCAAAAAAAAAAAAATATTGAAAAAATTGCCTTTAAAATTGTCGAAATTAAGTTCTTAGCAAAGCATATTACTAATCAAAAACTAAGTTTTGATATATTTACAGTAGGAAATTTACAAAATATCTTCATGGAACATGATCTTTACTTAATATCCTAATGATTTTTGGCATAAAAGAAAAATCTATAATTTTGACCCATACAATGTTTTTTTGGCTATTGCTACAAATATACCCCAGCGACTTAAGACTGGTTTTGTGGTCCAGGGTCACATATAGTATATAGACCTTATTTCTTGACTTTCTAACTTATAATCTTTTCAGCATTAAATAATGTAGTAATAGGGGTTCCTGGGTGAGCTGAAAGTCTGACTAGATCTATTAAGTTGGAAAATAATACTATTGTAGCATGTAAAATTTAAAACAACTACACTGTTATGAGAAGTGTTACCAAAAAGTTATTCAGAGACATTCCTGAGTTTCCTCACACCAGAGTGTTTTGAGGTGTAACTCAACTTCTTGTTTCGACTTGTTTGTAAAGGAATGGAATGTGAAGGTCGCAAACTGGTTCAGATTTTCACCTCATATATAAAACTAAAGCATTTATAAAGATGGGAAATATCTATGGAATGTAGATTAAAAAAGAATAAAAATTGTTTAGTGGTCAAATGTCTGCCTAATCTAATAAAGATAATTTTTTGAGGTTCATACAATTATCTGCTTTATGTTTTCCTCAAAGTCATCTGGATGGAAGAAGATGCCATCTTAACAGTCCAATTGTATAGTTATCACTTCTGCATGTTTTGTCATTATTCTTTCCCATGTCACCCAGGCCTCAGGTGTAGCCATCAGTGATGAGGTGGTGGATCACTATAACGCAATCCGGGTGCGCCAAACAGGAACTGAGGTGGGGCAAAGGTTTAAACTTGTGGTCATGTGTTTGAGCAAAGACCAAAAGAGCATCGTAGTGGACGTTGAAAACTGCCTGAAAGTCAAAGATGTGGGGAACTCGGATGTCTTAAAGAAGATCCTCAGTAAGCTTCCTACCAATGAGTGCCGCTACGCCCTGTACGACTGCTCCTATGCGAGCATGGAGAGTGTGAAGGAGGACCTAGTCTTCATCTTATCGTATGAGGCCTTTGCATCTCACTGATCAATCTACTTTTGCAGTCATGTGATGGCTTGTGTTCCATGTGACTGTTTGGTTGTACTAAGAATATCTCAAGTGTAAATCATGCCATTTTCAATGAGCTCCTTTTAGAATAAGAGGACATATTTAGGCTTTGTCAAAAATGTCTCCTAAGAATGGGCTGAAAAAATCCCACTGAAACCTAATCTATGCTTCCTTTGGCAATACATGCTTATTGGTGACATTTGAAGTTGATTTTTGGTGGGAACTTGAGCATCCAGCAGAAACAAACATGGATATGTAAGATTGGCTCATAATGAAAAAAAGTGAGCCAATGTACAATTTTTTTTTTTATTCAACGGTCAAAGACGTCCATCTAGTGCATGTTTTCATAGAAAAACATTTAAAAAGCAGCACAATGGAACACAAAATGCATTCAGTAAGAAGCAGCCATTACGATTTATTTTCATCTTGCTTGCGTGTTTATTTATTCCACAGTGCCCCTGAAAACGCCTCCTTAAAGAGCAGAATGGTCTATGCAAGCTCAAAGGCTGCTCTTAAGGCCAAAATGCCAGGTTGGTTATGGTCCTTTTAATGTTACAATTAATATTTTAAAGCACTTCTTACAGTACACATTATTCCAAAGCAGTTTTATAGAAAATGAAAACTAAAGAAGATAACCTGTTCTTTTTCCCTATAGGTTTGAAATTTGAGTGGCAAATTAATGAACCTGCAGACAGAGAAGCATCATGTCTTGTGGAGAAACTTGGTGGAAGGGTCATGGTAAAGTCTTTGGAGGGGATCCGTGTCGACCAATCAGCCCAATGACCCAGCAGCTCCCTTATCAGTCTGTTAGTCAAAATGAAAATGATTTTTTTTTAGGTATGCTATTAAACTTAGTATTTCATTGGAACCAGTATTTGTCATTTGACCAAGTGAGAACAACTCGTATTTATCCATTTACAATTAATGATCATTATTAAACAAATACCAACACTTTTTAGTAACAAACCATCAAATAGAGTATAATGACAGCAAAAATCCTGTGTTGGAAATTACAATTGGACTGTGCTACCTAATGCAACTGTGTACTTGAAAAATAAAATCATGTGATTTTCAAAAACTTTTCATGTGTTTCTTAAAGACACAAAATGTAAGATTTTTTTATTAAAATATCCAAAAATGTTGTGCGTTTTATTAGACGGGTGACAACCGCACAGAGTAGCATTATAACAGAACTTTCAAATGTATCTAGTATGATAAAACAGCCTTTTTTTCCCCACATACGCACGACCGGAAGGAGCGGAAGCATCATTAGCTCATCCATGAACATGATTTCTGCCCGAGTCCCGTCGGATTGGGGCTGTGGGGATGAAGACCACAACTCCCATGATTCCACACTCTTGATGGGCGAGTGCGGGTGCGGGCGGGAAGAGACTCATGTGTGTGCGGGATGCGGGAGAATAAAATGATTTGCGGGACTCCCGCAAAATAGAAATTATCCAA